GCTAAAATGGCATCGCGCTATCTGTCTTCGCCTTTCAGAACGGGCAGCAATTCCGTTGCTGACTGGATCTTTGTCGTCGTTCCGTCGGCCTTCATCAGCCGTTGTTGTGCTGCTACGCCCCCGGCTGGCAGAAGCAGATGTGCAGGTTTTGATCACCGAGTTTTCGCAGTCTGCCTGAGTCCCCAAACCGCCTGCGCCGCTCTTGGTAACCCGAGCGATGAGCGAGCCGGTATAATTTTCGATGGCGTCAATACCATAAAGGGCAGATAGCAGCATGGGACTGGCAGTGGCGGAGTTGACTAGCACATTTCACTAAAAATAGAGTAGGAATCTGTTTCATTCGAAAAGTCCAATTTCTATCACGTATAATGCACCAAGACGCTCTCTTAATGAATGAAATAATTCAACGAAATTCAGGCCTGGACTAATCAAATGACAGTAACAATATATGTTACACCTTGAATCACAAACGATTTTGCGATCTGAACATTAGAAAGAACTTCTCACTTTTCATTTTCCAACTGCTACGGCAGATCTGCTTCGTTCACAAGTTTGCATGAGGATTTATTTGCTATCTCTGGTCTTATCGCTTTAGATGTGCTACCTGAGTTAATTATGTTCTTATTTCATTTTTATTACTGCAGATAAAGAACGCTATTTGGTGATTTTGTTTGAAAAGTGTAACTTCGAAACTAAATTGAAATATCTGGAGTTCATCAGAACATACAAAAACGTAATTGGTACATTTTTAAAAGTACCCATCGACAACATCGCCCGGTCATTCTGAGGCTCTGTCAATCACTAAGTTTTAATTTCGAATTAGCCAGCTTTCTTGTCACCAGTGTCGTGTAGATTTTAAACATTTTAACAAAATCCGCTGGAAGGTCTACACGTAGCAAATATCCAATGATGAAGGCATTGGCAGTGACCGACCGTAAGCCGCTAAACACAAATTGGAGAATTAGGTAGTGTCTGTGTGACGGCGGTCGCATCGTTGCCGACGTCGCCTTAATTGAGCATGACGTATTAAACACATGAGATATCATCGAAACCTCATAGTTTGTAATGGTGAGGCAACCAGCACTTTATGTACTCCTTTGGCATTGGACGGGTGCTGGACGTTTCACACTCCTCGGCTTCTCGCATGAAGGTATTGACGTAGCGATGAGGTTTTTGCTTACTCGTGCTTCTCGCCTCATCTTATTCACTATTGTTCTGCCTTCTCGGCAGTAGCGCTTGCTGTGAAACTTTGCACTGCAAAAACTCCCTCGCTCTCTTCTCACTTTTTATGCTTGTTGAGTTTATTTATTATATGGTATCTGGCCACTTTGGCCGGTGGCTATAATCTTGCATGTTGCGTACGTTATTGCTCCGTTGCGCGACTTCAGCGTCCTTTCTGTGGAGAGTGACCAGTGGTCAAAGCGTGAGCACGCGAAATCTCCCCCAGCTGTAAAGCCAGGTCACGAACCGTCTGTTAACGGAACTGTCCAATTCAGTACTGGCACAACTCCGTGCCCTTCGAGGTGGTTTTGTCTATGACGACAAGATCACAAAACGTGATGAAAATATCGGAGTTCCTTGTTTATTGCCAAAAAGACAGGCACAAGTATAGATCCATCTAAATGTATGTATGAATAACAGTAAACTTCACGGAACGACTTTGCACGACGTAACGTAGACGGAATGTTTTGGATATTTCACGGAAGCACATAATGACTGTCGGCTCTTAGAGCATCATTGATGATGATTAAGCTCTGTCAGATAAACTGATGCACAATCTACATGTGTGCTGCAGGTAATTAAATTCTATCTTGGCGTTTCGTGCGTAATTGGCCTTCTAGGTATCTGTCATCGGTGCCATACACTGAAGGACCCCTTCTGATCTAGTTATCCATGTATGAATACATGATGAAACTCTTTCATCGTCACGTTTAGTATTTGAAATGATAACTCGACGCGGGAGAACGTCTTTCTGTCACTCGGGTAGTCAAACTCTTGCAAACCTGAGAACGAAAAACTTGCATTTGAGTTGTATCCTATTCAACGACGATAAGCTTTGTGATAGTGATTGCTTCGTTGCAAATAAGAGTTAAGAATGCAGTCAAGCCTCACATGCGTTTCTCACGATGAATCACGTGCTGACAATGGAAAAAAATACAGGAACGAAACAAGACATCCAGTTAGGATGACTAAAGGATGAAATAAGACAGTAAGACTGATCTGAAACGTTACGCAATGAAGGGCGTTGTATGGAAAGCAGCTGCAGCATGGGAAGTATAGCGACATATTTTTGAGTATTTTGCAAAAGTGCTGATCCCTATTGCAGTATTACTATATTACTATTCGTTTAGTGTCGTCAAAGTCCTGCTTGACCTTGTGTTTAATATCGATAGTCGTCATGCTCTCACTGGTGAGCGTGTACTCGGTATGGCTAAACAAACTAGACCGACATGTTTTCAGCGTACACTAATGCATGTAATATTACCCCTTCGCCTTTCACGGCACAGCTTAAAGCAGTTCGTTGTAAATCTGCAAACGAAACGCACGCTTTATTGATTTTCGTGCTTCGAACTGCTGAAATGCAGAACGTAATATTGGTTATATTATACTAACGTACTGAATCCGCATCAAGTGTGGCATAACGTTTCAAAGCAGCAGGATTGTTATCTGGCTTTTTTAAAATGTTCATCGGAGCTAGTTACATCTGGTATAGTACTTATATCTATCTGAGTACGATACGTCCACGTTGTAAAGTGCTTATTGTAGTAATTGTAAAACAAGTGTAATGGCCTCGTTGCGTTTCTTTTGCTGTAACGTTAGGGATGTTTAGCGTCGATGTCAAAAACGTGTTCTTCATATACTGGCTTTGTTAATTTTGGTTCCTGCAGCCATGGAGATTTGCGTTTCTGACATTATGCTCTGAGCATTGAATCACTAGTTATATATGTATTTATGCCGATGCAGTAAATATATGTGTGTGATCATTATATGTGTGCATGTAATAAAATCAGCATGCATATTCGTTTGTACTGTACATAAGTTTTAGTTAAACAGTTATTCTCCATGGCATGCGTTTAAGTTCTAAGATAATAAGGTGTGTAAGCCTGATTCCTTGAGATCAAACTTTCAAACTGATAGTGACAATGACAGATATGGTTTTTAATTAATAGCAGTGACGACTTAAGCCTATAAGTTTTCGCAAGTTTGTTGTGACAATTTTCAGGTCTTGACCATCCCATGACGAAGAGAATGTTATTTTATTTCTTTTGCTAGATATAATCCACCGAGCACTGTTGAGTTTGTTCGTCAGAGTAGCCAAAAGTTGCCTTCAGCCGTTCGTAGGATAGAGCACACGGCATAAACCGAGGTTGAATATGATTTTTTAAGCATTAATACCCGGTTTCAGTCTTTTCTTCCGATTTTGTTATTACTGTTTAGACAGAATTGCCTCAGAAAGCATGTAGATTTCCTTCACCGTTGCCACATCATTAACCGATCGGCATTACTCTCCGTGACTGCAAAAGGGGTTTATTTCTTCTTATCATTCCCATTTTATCAAAGATGATGCGGAGTGCCACTTGAATCAAGCAACGTTGATCGAATAAATGCATGCTGACGTTTCAGTCCACGTCATTTGTAGATCACGATTTCATATATATCATGTTGGAAGCTTTTCCGACGGTCAGTTACCATCAGGCTTTGCATTCAGTATCCACTTCGCAGGGCGGCTATTATCGATTTTTTGGCAGTGGTCCCACCGTCTTAAACGTCTTGTCAGTCACTTTAGTTGGGTATTTTGATCTCTCTATCTTGTAGCAACATTTGGCATTCCGTATCGTGTGCAGCTTCAGTCTTAATACTGATCTTAAAATCTACATTTCCACTGATTTCAGCCTTTTATTTTCAACTTTGTTAAGTGCCGCCGAGTCCAAGTCCATGCCAGCATGGGATGTTCAGAATGTAAGCTCTGTATATCCTCTGTTTTGTGCTACTGCCAATATGTAGGTTTGTCCTTTCAGAGTTTTAATAACGTTTTGCTCCCTGCTGATGCCAACAGCGCTTCTAAACTTCGTTTATTGCTCATCCGTCTGTACCCCCAAGTTAGTGGTACTTCCTTTGCTACCGAACTGACTACACTGTAGAAAAAACGCTATGGCAGCTTCGCATATGACACTTTTTCGCGGAATTTCTCGCTAACGAATGGAATACTGGCTAAATACATATCCGCTGAATAGGCGATTAGTCCAAGAAAGTTTCACCGTAAGTCTATGAGCTCTCGTTTAAAAATTAAAGCGGATTTGCCAAACCAAGAGTTTGTTTATTGTATGGATTATACATGTAGAATCAGTCATATATGGAAGGTGTATACTTAGATATTAGACTTTGACTTAAAATTTGTACCTTCGTAAAAATCGCGATTTCTGGGATCACGAAACTTGTTCAACAAGAGTGTCTTTAATGAGAATACACCATATAGTATATTGTAAATACATGTATTGTAAATAATGCTAATTACGCAACGATTAGGCTGAAGAATGCACGGTACAATGTTTTGAAGACTACATAAAACAGTACTGCATGGATGAAGGTTTTACCAACGATCATCTAATGCGTTGAAAATTGACTCGTATAGCAGAACTGTTAAATTTGAAACGCGCGTTGAGAAGATGAAAAAAAATTAGTTTATGTTTTGCTCTTAATCGTGTCTTGCAACTGTTCTGATTCCAAACCCAGCCGGACGAACCAACCAAGGCCGTAAACCCATTATTATTCCAATAAAGTGACTAATTAGTAGCAGATAGATTTGTGACTGTGTACTTCAGTTGGGTTTTTGCGCTATAAGAAATTCTATAAGCTGATTGATGAGAAATTTCGAAATTTGAAACCGAACATTATTTCACATGTGTTGTTGTTTGAGTTATTGCGAATACTCTAGAATTAGCCTAGAGTTTTAGACTTCGGCAAATGGTCATAATCAGGGAATATTGGAGCGGCTCGCAATGATCCAGTTCATTGTGTTGTGTGTTTTGCTACCACGGCATGAGGCGCATCTTTTGAGCGACTGTGTTTGCCATCTGGACAACGATATTCATGACTGCGCGTGTTCGTCTAAATCCGTCGACAAATTCAACAACGATAAGATTCAACCGATTCTTAAGCAGCTCCTGCAGAAAGACTGTTTCAGGTATTACAAGGTGAAGTAGCGACCCTGGTGTTAATCGAGTGAACGACTTCTTTATCTCCGCTTTAGGTGGATATGTACAAAGAGTGTCCGTGGTGGCCCAGCGGTAGCCAGTGTACTTCACGCGAGTGTGGCATAGAGAGTTGTGATGACGAAGTACCAGCTGCTCTGAAACTCAAGCGTACTCCTAAGGTGATAGTACCTGACAACGTCAGCCAGCAAATTTTGCTCATGCTGCTTCTGTTTTAGCTTAAAGAGTGCCAGCAAGGAGATGAGATCGACCCGTTGGACAAACACATCAGTCCTTGGCAGAAAGAGCAGTTTCTGGTTTGGGCGGAGCATGACGACATGCAAGACAAGTATTGCGATGTTGACGGTAAGTACAATTTTGTGCGGAGAATTGTCATAGCGAGTGTCATAGTATTGTGATTGCAGATGAAGATTCCGACAAACTGCATTACGTCGACTTGACCCGCAATCCGGAACGCTACACCGGTTACAAGGGTAGCAGCGCACAGCAAGTTTGGAAAAGCATCTACCAAGAAAATTGTTTCAAGTTATAGCACTCACACTTTTCAGATTCTTTAATATATACTTCGTTTTAGGCCAGATCCAAAATTTGACAAAAACTATCTGCGGTATCCTTTTTCGTTGAACGGTATGACTATTGATGTAAAGAATGTATATCGATTCTGTACCTTTGTTTGTTTTCGACGATGGGTTTTAATACTTCACTGGCTGCAGGCACAAATACGAGACCGCTCTGTAGGTCTTCAGTTAATTTTACTTTCAACGTTT